TTCAACTCCGACCAGAAACTAAAATTGAGCAAGTCCAGGGTGAAAATGAAGTTTAACGCTTCCTCGTTCTTCTCCTTTGGATGAATTTCATGCTCCGACCACGTTTCCGTCGAGTATCCCTTTTCCTGCATAGCGAACCAGATTGAGTCCGCAGCTTCAATGATATGTTCCCGCTGCAACGCAACGTCGATCGCATTATCGGCAATATACTCTGCATCACGGAGGGCGCGAGTGTCGACTTTGGCTGGTTTGTTGCTTTTTGCAGCCAGGTGCGACCTGAGGAGCGCGAGAAGCTCCAAGTCAGGCTCCTCTTCGTCAGAGGAATACATGTTTCTCGCTTGATGGTGTAGCTCGAGAGTGCTGCAGAGATTCTAGAGAGAGTAGGGTCGACAAGGTCAATAGATTGGGATAGTTTTTCTTCTGTTTGCCCTTTGGACATGAAAAATAGAAAAATAGGGAAAAGACCCTCACTGTAGCGGTTTAACTAGAAACTAGACTAGCAGCAGTTCGAAGGGCTTGGAATACCGTAAAGACCGTGAACAAGGCCAGGCTCGACTCGGGTATGGTACTATTGGCAAGATATGACCATACTAAATTTTCGTGATAGTAGCTACAACTGCTGTTCTAGGAGATTTATTCACGAAATGGTACAAGAAGACGCTGTGTGACATGAACGGCAAAACAAATTTATGTTTGACGTTTGAGAACTGCACTGAAGATCAAGGGGCGAGGACCGGGGTTGGGCAGATGCGAGTCAGAGCCAGGGATGCCGGTACTTGTTTGTGGTGGGCTGCACAGCAGACGCACGCAGCCAGACCCGATTCCAGATCACGGTAAGTCAGATCTAGAGCAAATTGCTGCTGCAGTCTGGTTCTGAATTGCTATGGCTCTGCATTCCAATTTCCAGCGCAAATTCCGTTGCCATGTAATGTAGGACTTGTATCTACCGGTCATTTTATTTGGCCGTTGCTGAATAACCATATAAAGCTCTTCGTGCAGCATTCACATGCCATCGCTTGGCACCACGTGATGCTCAAAGCCCGCATACGTATGCTCGCAGGTACAGTACCCCGGCGAAAGTGTTTGCGACCCCTATTTTATGCAGCTTATATGCAGCAATGTGAAACCACATCATGCAGGTAAGACATATCTAGCTAAATCTATATCTATACAGTACAAGACCCACTTCCGGTCCCGCTGGTCCAGATTTTCGGTCTCAATATTTCGTATACCAACCCTCTGCCTTGATAACAGCTGCCACTCGGCGAGGCATAGATCTTGTTAAAGAATCCAGTAACGTAGACGGAATCTCTTTCCAAGCCTCTAACAAGCAATCTGCCAACCTTTTCTTCACAGTCGCTGGCCCTCCCCGACAAGTTGCAATATCAGGAAATTTTTGGCATAAAATCCGCTTAAGATATCGCCAAACATGCTCAATAGGGTTGAGATCTGGTGAGCAAGCTGGGTGATCTGCAACCTTCCATCCTTCATCTTGTAACCAACCTAAACTGTAGTAGGAGTTGTGTATAGGGGAATTGTCTTGCATGAATACTGGTGTAGATATGCCAGCTGCTGCCATATCTTCCTTTACAAGGGGGAGATAGGCTTCCAAAATCTCCACATAACGCTCAGAGTTGTTATGCCCAACAAGTAATGGATGAAGATATCCAAGTGTAGAGCCCCAAAAGCATCCCCATACCATAAGGGTTACTCCTTTTGCCGTTCTATATAATATTTAGTATATGAGAAAAATATATAATGAAAAGTACTTACCTTGTTCCATCTGCTAAGCCTACTTGATATGGATTTTCTCCTTCTATCCGAAATACCCACTTTACTCCTCCTGTTTTACCCTTTTCAACACTACATTCATCGCTCCAAATATAATGTCCCCACTGCTCCTCAGTCCAATCCTTCCGTACTTCTGCCCATTTTAAACGAGCAGCTGCATGTGCTTCTGTTAACTGTGGTCTTTTCTTCGCTATCCACTTCCGGTAACCTTTTAGTTCACATTATTAGATTAAGTCTCTACAAGAGGTAGAAAAAGTGCAACCAGACTAGGTAAAAACTTACCTTTCTTTTTCAGAAACCGGTCAAGAGTTCGTGGATGTACATCAAGCTCAGCTTGAGTATAAAGATTAAGTTTCGTGATAGATCGATCTCCTTCAATTAATTCCAATACTCGATCACCAGTATCACTTTGAATTGAAAGAGGCCTCCCACTTCGAGTCAGATTTTCAGATTTTCCCCTCTCATCATATCCCTTCAGAAATGCTCGTATAGTTGACTCATTTCTTTCTAAGTGCCGTCCAATCTCTTTATTTGAACCTCCAAAAGCTCGCGCTCCAACAATCCACCCTTTTTGAAACTCAGTCAGCTCTGTCCTCTTCTTTGCGCCCGGTGGTCCTGCCAGCACTGGGTTAGCTACAGTTGCTTCTAAATCCGATGGGAGCGGGACTGCTACTGATGACATTTTGCTATATCGGAGTGCTGTCTCCGCACTGGACCCCGCTCAAAGTTATAAGCTGTGCTCGCTGCATGTCTTAAACAACATGTCTTACTTCCTTGCGCTGTTACCTTGAGCTGCAGGCGCTGCATATTATGCAGGGGGGGTCGCAAACACTTTCGCCGGGGTACTGTAAATAAACACCCAGACTACCCGGCCACCACGCAGCAGCTCCCGCTCCAACGGCCAACAATGGACCTCGTCCACTCCGCAACCGCGGCCGTCTCCGACCCAAAATACTCCAAATACCTCGCCCCACTACTCCTCCTCGCCGATGCCTTCCTCTCCGTTATCGTCCTCTTCAAAATCCCATGTAATTATCCCCCTTCCACCCCCTGGGCCCTTTCCCAATTGCAATTGCACTCAATTCATTGACCTACGCTTCCTCAGACACAGAAATTGACTGGAAGGCGTATATGGAGCAAGTCGTACTCTATCTCAATGGAGAATCGGATTACGTGAAGCTCAAGGGCGGAACGGGCCCGCTGGTGTACCCCGCCGGACATGTCTATGTGTATAGCTGGCTGTATAAAATTACGGATCAGGGGAGGGACATTTGGAAGGCACAGTGTGTGTTTGCGGGGCTGTATCTGCTAATGCTGGCGGTGGTGTTGGTGGTTTATATTAAGGCGAAGGTATGTGAACCTAATCACCGAATTCTCCTCGAGTGAAGATGATGAAGGAAGTTGACAAAGTTGGGGTGATACGAACAACAGGCCCCACCATATATTCTTCCCCTCTTAATCCTCTCCAAGCGCCTCCACTCAATTTACATCCTCCGCCTCTTCAACGACACCTTCAACCAACTCTTCTTCTTCCTCTCCCTCCTCTCCTATCAACACCGCTGTTGGACTCTCGGCTCCCTTCTGTATACCCTCTCCATCTCCATAAAAATGAACACCCTCCTCGCCCTCCCCGGCATTGGCATCGTCCTCCTGCACGCCCTCGGCCGAGACCGCGCCCTCGGTCAAGCAAGTATAATGCTCCAAGCCCAAGTCGTCCTCGCCTGGCCTTTCATCAGCACATACACGAAAAGCTACCTCACCAAAGCCTTTGAATTCTCTCGAGTCTTCCTCTGGAAATGGACTGTAAATTGGCGGTTTCTTGGGCAAAAATGGTTTTTTAGCAAAGAGCTGAGTTATGGGTTACTTGCTGCACATGCTGCAATTCTAGGGTTCTTCATGGTCACTAGGTGGATCCGACCAGCTAAATTGCCCCTACGAGCGTTTATATCTACATATCTACTTTCTTGGGATCTTCCCCAGCGAGGCGAGCCTCGCTCGCTACAAGCATACCAACTTGCGCAAAGAGTTACACCTAGGTTTATCGCAACTACTATCCTGACATCGAACTTGATTGGTGTCCTCTGTGCAAGAAGCTTGCATTATCAGTTCTACAGCTGGATTGTGTGGGGCACGCCGTATCTTTTATATAAAGCCAACTTCCACCCCGTAGTGATCTATGCGCTATGGGCGGCACAGGAATGGGCATGGAATGTATACCCGAGTACGAAAGCGAGTAGCATAGTAGTTGTGGGTATGTTGGCGGTGACGGTTGTTGGGGTATGGTGGGGGACTAGGAAGGGGGATGATGAGAAAGCCGAGGGCGAAGGGCGGAGGCTGGGTGGGAGAGAGAAAAAGGAGCAATGAATTAACCTTTTAATGCTTCAATTTTGGGGTCATAGTTGCTAGACTAATAACCCCGACGTCGATGGAGACAAAATGCAGACCTACATATATCAACTGATCTGCATGATGTTGCACATGCATCACATAAAATTTCTAAATTAAATACATCCCCCTACCATACATATTCCCTTCTCCATAGACTTAAACCTCCTGCCCTCGTAACTGGAAAATACGTTAGGTTTTTCGCGATTCACCAAGAGTGCGTCAAGGAAAAAGTCCAATACAACTCCAAGAACAAGCACCACAGGGGACCCTTTCAAGCATTTATAATAGCACCTCAAGCCCTATTACTCCTGCTTAGCATAAACCAAGTCGACAGTGTGTAGTCTCAAGACTGAATTTGCAATCCCGACATGCCATAACTATGGAGATTCTTCTACCCGAGACTCGCCAAAGCAAGTTTTTATCTAAAAAACTTAATATATTGAATATTGTATAATTGAATCCCGGGGTGGATGTAGCGTGGAAAGCACTACGTTGGCTGTAAAGGCCACACAAATTTGTATGCAATTCATACCACTTCTTGCTGATGAACTATTACTTGATAAGTAATACCTGCTGCTGTTAGCTAAGTGGCTACAGAGAAAGTACTTGTCAACACTCGATTTGCACAGTATTATGTTCCAGAGAAACTGCTATGCCTCGTCAGGTAAGCATAAAGCATGTCATTAGTGCTTCATCCAAGAACATATGTAATTACAGAAGAAAGCGAGTACATCATCCTTCTCCTCCTCCTCCCAACCAGTTACACCAAGCACCCCAAATCGCCCTTCAATTATCATCATACGCCAGGCTGAAGTGTCACAGGCAAGATGGCCGAGTTGGTTATGGCGCCAGGTTAAGGAACTTATCCTTAGCATGTATATCCTGGTAGGGAAACCTGCGTGGGTTCAAGTCCCACTCTTGTCACAATTCTTTTTCTTTTGCGAAAATTCTTTTTTTCATTCATAGTACCTATCCTTTTTTAGAGTTGGGCACAAGGCGGTTGGTTGAGAGAACTACTTATGTGATATGCAGGAAGGAATTGGCTTGCATGCACAGATGGGATTGATCAAGTGTTACTGTACTTTTACTAACCTGACTAAAGTGTTACCCTGAAAAAGAATTGAAGGTTCTTTGGTAGTTGTTTCCTGTTTGGGTTAGTATTGGTGCTGAAGTTCATTAGTCTCGTGACAGACCCTAGTAGTGACAGGCCCACGAGACTGGAAGTTCCAAAACTGCTGACTACTTCGTATATGCAGGCCATGGTGGCAGCATTTACTTAGATGGTTGGCACAAGCCGCTCGTGGTCTGGTTGTTGAACTGATACATTTCCGTAGTCTTGTTTTGGCCTCGGTAATCATTCGAAGCACGACCGCTACATGACTCTAATCTACATTGCATCCCAACGAAAGCCAGAATACCCTATCTACCGTCTGATTTAAACTTTTTTCCGCCACCTATGCCCCTACCATTCCACACGTTCTCCCTTCCGTCTCCCTGCGCCCCTCCCTCCCCTTCTCAATAACCTCCGCCCCCAACCTCTCTAGATAAAATCTCCTCACCCACTCCGGCAGCCCTTCAAACTGCCTCATCACCTTCCCCAGCGCCTGTCTCCCCCTCTCATAAGCCACCAAGTCCCTATTCCCATAAACATCCTTCCCAGGCGCATACTTCTCCCCATCCAAATCCCCCCAAAACACATTTACTGCCACACACGGTGTAACAGACAGTGCCGCGTGCGGGAAAACCGATGGGATGAAGATTGCGTCGCTGGGGTTTAGGAGGATATCGTAATCTGGCAGTACAAACTTCGTCCGCTCATCCATGGTGGTAGCAGCACTGGTGGTAGTAGCACTGGTGGTAGTAGCACTGGTGCTAAGGTCAGCAAATGGATTAAGGATAGTAGCAGAACTGCTTCCCCCGGGAGGGAACCCTAGTTCCAACGCTCGATGAGGATGCCATAAACGGAATTTCTTTGTCCTAGATACTTGAAAAAGCACGTTCGCGGTTACGTCGAAATGTAACCAACCACATGCCTACATTCGGAGAGCTAATCTTCAGCAGGGACGAATGTAAATTGTCCTACACAAACTTTAATTCCGGAGGGAAGTTGAAATCACTTGCTAGCTCTGGGAAGTCCATTGCCAGGTTCACAGGCTGTTTTGTTGGGGAAGTGGCGGAAATAGAGCGGAGGTATAGGGCCGGTTGTGAGGCGGAGGAAGGGGCAGAAGAGATAGCGTCGATGAAAGCACCAAAAGTGGTTTTCTCATAAGTGAAGTTTTTGCTGGTGAAGGCCATTTGGGAGGTGGTTGAGGAGTGGACGATGCTTTGCCTGTCCTCGCCGACACTTCTTTTGAGATACTCCCAATTTCATTTCTCCACGCAGGCACCGAAACCTATCCCCTCTAGGATAGCGGGTTCACCATTGGCCGTAAGAGCGGCAAAGTCCTCCTGAGAGTTTATTCGTACTCGCAAGATCTCTACCTTGAGAGAGGTTTCATCGTATCATTCAGTGAAGGTGTGCGTCTGTCGCTTGGCAGCCTTCAGATTTCCTCGCAGATATTGTTGGAGATTCTGTGATTAACTCCTCCCGTTGAGCCGTGGTCTGTGCTATCAATGCCTCGAGGTGGTCTGCGCCCCTTGATACAGCAAGTACATTTGCATTCCACTCCGCTCCAAGACTGAAACAGACAGCCCTGCCTCCTGCAAGTACCAGCGTACTTTTCATAAGGCCAACTGTGAAACCCACTAATAGCGGTGGAAGCTCTAAAGAAATTTCATACGCACAAGTTACCCTGATATCCTTCCTAATATCTATGGTCACAATCGTTTCAAGCGCCCTCATGAGCGGACCTCCAGATACACCTCCAATGAGTGATAACTCCGAGTCGCTCATTTTCACGAGCTGTGCTCCAAACCTCCCTAGCAATTGCTTGGTCTGTGGATGGAGTGTAACTTGCTCTACGACACCCTCCGTTCCGGTCCACATGACTTTCCACATATCATTCAGCACATTTTGGCTCTCGTCAATACCTCCAATCATAATTGCCACTCCGTCTGCTATAGCACCGCAAGCCTTGGAAGCGGGCGCTTTTCACTTGATCCCTGTGCATTGGTGACTCTCAGCTGCGACCATGTTTGTTTCTCCAAGCTGAAGACATGCCAGTCCCCTAGCACCTCGTTTCCTTCTCCAATGCCACCAAATACTAATACCTCTTTCCTAGCTTTATCCGCAACAGCACAATGGCGGAACCTAGGCCCAGGGAAAAGCCGCCCAGATGCGAAAATTCTCCACTGCTCTCCTGAGTGTTGCCATTGCTTCCATATGCCACCATCGTAGAGCCAGGTGTCAGCCAGCACTCTAGTTGGGGCGGTACGACCACCGAAAAGCAAATGTATGTTCTCATCTATTTTAGTCAGAGTGTGACACATCCTGGCCTTTGGAGGATGACACTGTGTGGTTTTTGTGTGGATAAGCTTGTTGAAGAAATGACTGTGTTCATTGGTGCGATCAGCGATGGTCAAACCACCATGGTGCATAATTGTGTTTCCGTTCAAAGCCTCTGCGGTGCCAAACCGGCTCAAGAATTTTTCGGATGGAGTCGGTATCACTTTCACAAGCCCCCGCTTCTAGCATACGCAGATGACACTGGCTTCTCTACCAGACCGCCGGAGCGGAGTTGCCACATGAACAGCTCTCCCACCTTGACTGATAATTGCTGCCACTGGTTTGAAGAACGGAGTATTTGGTTCAATGGCTGTACCATGACTCTGTGCAAGCAGTAAACAGTAGTGTTGTGCAAATAGATAGAATTCCTCCCATTCGTCAAATCCTTCACATCTCCAGATATGATCTTTTTCTCTCTTGTCCAGCCTGTTGGCCCAAACCCTAAAAGACCAGATGCATGGACATTATCCCATCCATGGGACATAAACCGCTTGACCTGGCTTTGGAGAGTAGGATAAGTTCGTACAGACTGTAACGGGGCCTTGAGAACTCAAAATGCTTTAGCATGGTTCTGGAAAATGGATGTTTAGGCCCATCAGGGATGAGTTGTTCCAGAAAAACTGAACCTTGCTATCAGCCATCACAAATGTCATTAGTTACAATTTCCTGAGTTGAGTCCCAAAGACAGGAAGATGTAGAAACCTTTTGGAAGGCTTCCAGCCCACTTAATCAACGAATTTGCCGCCTCTGTTCTCATATATATCATCGACACCTCCGCAATGAACAAAATTTCACAGTCTAGGATGCCCTCCTTCTCGAACAACGCGTGGAGCCAATCGACTTGCTCGAGATCACAGCCAATAGCGAGATATTCATCACTTCGAATTTGGACCTGGGCTGATCCGCGGGGCCGGTTTCTCGTTGAATATTGTGGAGGAGTGGCGTAAGCTTGTCAGTCGCAACTTTTTGGGCTTTAGTGGATATCAGGGCGGGAAAGTCGGTATCAACGTAGATGACATTGTCCTGGAAGCCTTGACAAAGGAATTAAGGGCAATGGGTCACTTGGAAGATGTCAGTCGACGTCCCCACAATCTGCTCTCATGAACAGTGTCTGGGCATAATAATAACAGGATAACTGACTATCCACATCCCAAGTTCACCACAACCTTTTCCGGGTGAGCATTCTGATAGGAAGCATCGGACAACATGCTCAACGCATTGCATCCGCAGCCAGTAACCCCGGTTAATGTTGGAGATCTCCGGCGAACCCTGTCGGCTCCAACGAAGGGTGTGAAATACGATGAGTATCCATCTGGGGCATATATTCGTTCTGCAGAGTACTTGGAAACAATACTATCATTTGTCTGGAAGCCAGTAGTTTATCAGCATAAAAGAACTGGAAGTATGCGACACGGAGGAAAGGACACCTAGACTGAGACAACTTACCCTCTGAATACACTCCTTCTCTTCCTCCGCATAAAGCTTCAATACACCCTTCTTGCGGCGCTCCTTCTTCGAAATCACGCCCGTCATTCTTCAGAGCGCCGCAAGAGTTGAACCTTTTACCTGGTTGAGACAAAGTCCAGGATCTGCGCAGCGCCCGCGGTACCTCTCATCCTCGTAGCGAGTGCGCCCATCCCTGGAAAAGCTCGACTTGCTTATCATCAACTCGCATAGCTAACTTTCTGGTGACACTTGCGTGCATATCTACAGCTGCTCCCGCCCATTATACTCAGCAGCTCGACAAGTCTCACGATCGTGTCTAAAGCTTACCCGAAAAAAAAAAAATTAGAGTGAGCGAGGCCACATATAAAGGATTCGTCCCGCTTAAAAAGTCGCAGCTAAAACTGGGTGACAAGGCCACTACAAGCTTCAAGAAGAAAGCAAGACACCACCTCCGCCATCTCCGCTCCCAGTCACATCATCAAACAGCAATATAACCCATCATCAGCAGCAAAATACCGACCGCAATCCTGGCTGCTTCAAAGATGAACTTCGTCACTTTCAATCAAGACTACTCCTGCCTCGCGGTCGGTACCAGAACCGGATACCGAATATACAACTGTGATCCATTTGGAAAATGTTACGAATACAAAGGGAACGATATCGCCATTATCGAGATGCTGTTCTCAACGTCTCTAGTCGCTATTATCCTGTCCCCGCGACAACTCCGAATCACAAATACCAAGGTTAGAACTTCTCATGTGAACTTGGTCATAGTTTTCAAGACGGCAGCGGCTGACGCGGGGGATGTTGAACAGAGGCAATCTACAATTTGCGAGCTCACCTTCCCAACCAGCGTGCTTGCAGTCCGGCTGAACAGGAAACGGTTGATTGTCGTTTTGGAGGAGCAGATATATTTGTACGATATTAGCAACATGAAGCTCCTCTATACAATAGAGACATCCCCGAATGCTCACGGTATACTACCCCTCCTGCCCCCCTAGATTGAGGGCTTCTCACAACCCCTTGTATGTAC